ATTCAACGACAGAATTCATGTTTTTAATTATGAAACCTCGTTTCTTCTTTTTCGAGCGTTCAAAGTCGCTTTCACCATAATTGCTGTCCGAAGACTCTGAACTGGATGTTCCCTTCCGCTTTTTATTCGCAGAATCTTCAAAACGCCTATCGTGCCTTTGTCTCTCACGTCGATCGTGTCCTCCTCTCGGCCTTTCATGATTGTCCTGATATCTCTTACGGTCGGCACGATCTTTCTGTCTGTGAAATTTTCTCAATTCCTTTTTGTCAGAGGACACTTCTGTGTCCTCGACATCTCCCTGCCCTCGTCGGGACCTGTTGATCTCTCCTGAATTTGACCATCTAGGTCTAATTGTAAGAGGCGTACTAGTGTTTTGCACGTGTAGTGAATGCTCGGTGCTGTCGGTAACTGACGAAGATTCCTCGCTACTGCTTGAATAGTTTCTCCGCGAGGTTTCCGCAGTACTCCATCGTCTTGAAACTCTTTCGTTCGATCGGTTCATTTTACTGATTTTCCAATGGCGTCAAGATGTTCGATCTTTCTAACGTCGTGATTAAAATACGTCATACTTGAACGTGTCTGCCTCGCTGGAAACACTTCCTGAAACTAATACCTGACAATTCCTTCATAAATAGGGGAAAGTATCCATAGTAACCGTCTGTTGTCGCTTGTAATATACTGCGAGAGATACTTGGAAAAAATCAATAATTCAGACAATATGTGGCATGCATATTTTGCACATTATGTATGACGAGATTGCAAGACCAATAAATGAAAAGTAGAAGGTAATTATATATAAGAAATTTAAATTTATTTAGCTTGTTTCTTTCTTCAGCGTATAAAGAATAATACGCATACTAAGTCTATATAAATAAGGTATAAATAAGATATAGTAAATAGGATACATTGCACAAGTATTATGAAACATTATTTACATCGGAACGTAAGCCATTTATTAATCCTCCTATTGTATAGAAGCACTTATAAGATTTCCAGATCACAGTGCCGAATTTCGGGGTGCTTTTTCTACAAATGTCAAAGAAAAATATTAAATATTAAATAATGTCAAAAAGTTAGAAATTGATACGTAAAATCTGAGGTACCTTCAGATTTAATTCCATTCTATCTATCTCTCCACCAAGCATATCAACGATAGCTTCACCATGCTTTAACATAAATGCTTCCAATTCTTTTATGTCTGTCATCCCTGTTATTTCCTGAGGAGTATAATTTTTAACTCAATATAAGACTAATTGGACACTAAGCTATTACCTTTAACATCTGGACAAGATCGTGTTTTTCCAAATAAGACCTCGTTAATTCCCTACCATCAAAGTCTAATTCAGCTTTGTATCGAACCAAATTATTACCCATATCGATACCCTTGACATCATAAATTGCTCGGACCTGATTATTTCAAACTCGATTAATTCAAATAAAGATATCTGTACATACAATATTATTGTGATACAATCATAAAAATAAAACCATTATATCCGCTTCCAATTTCGCATTGATCCTGTCTAGATCTTCTTGAGATATACTTCTTCCAATTAAAGCAGCAGCATTTGTATGTATTATAAACCCGGCTACAGCGCCAAGTAAACCGCCGACTAAAAGGGACCCAGTGGCATCAAACATCGAGTTTCCGAAAAAAGAAGTTAAACCCATACAAACAGCAGCACATACAAGACCAAGTACCTAACAAATTCAAAACAATATCTCGCATTTAACAATTGCGAACGTTTCTATACCTATCTTTTTTAATAAACACTTACCGCTGCGAAATCTTCCATGAGCACAACATTTACGGACGGATCTTGACCTCCTAATACATATTCTTTAAATGTTTGTCGCTTTTCTTCTGCACCTCTTTTTATTGATTGTATTGCTACTAACAAGGTTGCTCCTTCGGACACCAAGGAACCGGCTAAGATAAAATATGCCCAATAGAATGATTCTATAGTTGAAGGATGTAAAAGACCGTGAATTCCATGATAAACAGATAAACCAGTTCCAACGCAAAAGATACCGACACCAGATATTAAAGAAGATACATATCTCATGTTTGTATAACCATATGGATGATCAGGATTAGGAGTCTGAAATATTTAAAATGATAAGTAGTAAATGAAAAGCAAGTAATTTTATTTTAATTTCATGTGATATAATTTTATGCCTACTTGTACTGATTTATGTATACCATAAGCTAATATTAATTGATTACAAGTATCTGCAGCAGAATGTATACACTCTGAAAACATACTGTGGGAACCAGTATACAACCACGCACACAGTTTAAATAAAAAATTACAACCATTGCTAAAAAAAAAAAAAAAA